GTTTCAGTTTTCATATTTTCTCTTTTTATTAGAAACTTCATGCAATTGCTTCACTACTAAAATCTAAAGATGATATTCATTTAATGTACATGTATATTAAAATATCTAGTTTTACAATATAACATGGCTAATGAGTTTTGAAAGTTTATATTTATTGCTTAAAGGGGGCCAACAAGCTAAACAGTTCCTTTCATTTCTGATTTGCAAATGTAAAGTAATATGTAGCAAAACAATTCAAAGTTGAGTGAGTTTAGTTTTACGCCGCACTCGGTCAATTCAAAGTGAGAATATGAATTATTTTATGCTTACTTGAAGTTCTACTACCAAACATAATTGCACTACAAATTTCACACAAAACAGATAAATAAATTTTAATTAAATAAGGATAATGATGTTGTCATGGCATGGACAGTGGAATTAATTGTTACGGTAGTGACACAACAACGGTAGTGACATTTTTGATAATAGCCAGTTTTATATGTTAACTTTAAAAGATAATTTAATGAAATTTGTCAGTCAGATATTTCAGAATGTTTGAAGAATATGTAGTAGGCAAAAGATTTACTTATGGATGTCCCTGTCATGTAAAAAACAAGTAAAGACAGCGTGTTACGGCAGTGACATTGTAACGGTATCTTCTTCTTTGTCACGGCTGTTACACTACCATGTCCTTACCGTAACTACAAATCATACTTTTCGCATATTGATTTTATAAATTTGATACAAAACGTTTATGTTAAATAAGATTCCAAAACATTTGGAATCTTTGAATTGAAATTTAGATACAAACAATATTAAACTAGAAAAATGTCAGTGCCGTCACACAATCTGTCCTTACCGTAAAACAATCCATGATACCGGCAGTGACAATAACGGTAGTGACAGCCACTAATAGTATCAGTTTTAAAACAGTAACTGGTCCCCAAAGTTTACTGAGCACATGGTTTCAAATGATTTCACCTACTGTCTAAGTTACTTGGCATTGTTTGGCTTCACAAAATTATTTGGTTAGGATATGGAAAAATCTCAGATATCATTTTGTACACACCTTTTCTGCGATAAAATTACGAAAAATGATTTTTTTTGTGTCAGTGTTTGACAGCCATGTTTCCTCACTGCCATTGCTTGCAAACATGAAGTAGAATCAGAAGACAGTACAGGGAGTAATCATTATTGCAATGTGTTGGATGACGGTAGTGACATCAAACCTTGTGACCAAGTTTGATTTTTTTTTACAAAATGTTTTTTACGTACAAAAAGGCCAAACCATGCGAAGCATGTAGCTGTTACATCATTAATTATGATATGTTAAAAAAATTCTTTTGAAAAGCATGAAAAAGACAACCAAAAAAATCAAATTGCACATCGGCCACAGGAGTTGTGACACATGAAAATTGAGTAGAATTTGGTGGTTTGGGGATTTAAAATAAATTTTAAAAAAAGATTTTTCGCAATTTGGTTTACTGTAAAGTGTAGAATAAACGGAGATAAATTAGTTACCATAAAGTTTTTATTGATTCTGACTTAAGTTTGTCGGGTAGAAACATATAACATAAATATTGAGATAAATTTTGAGAATGACTCAGTTCTATGTACATTACAATGTATCCCCGATGTGTAGTCATCATCATCATATTTATTTCCTCCTTGGATTGGAGATCAGATGTTGATTACATCAATTGACAGTGGGAGTATGTACAAAGAAAGTAAGAGGTATTAATTTACTGAAAGTTTGATAACTAGCTGGTCATACTTTGTATAGTGATGAGGCGCTGGTATGCGGACATTGCAGACATGAGGAAAACAGCGGAGATTTTGTGAAAGTGGAGGAGCATAGCCCTGTGCACCATAAACATCCTCGAAAGAGGGATATAATTTCAAATAGTTTCGCATTTCATAACAATATTCACATTAGACCGTGTTTCTGTTTCCAGCTGTTGGGGAGATGTGCGTAGGAACAGCCAATTGGGAAAGATTAAAACTTTCCAATTTTACTAACAGACAAAAACCAACGTGGCAACACAAATACCACGGTAATTTGAATTTCTGATAATAGCAACTAAAATATTCGTTTATCAGAATATCAATTGTGAATCCAATTTATTAAGTGTTACTTCCCAGGTTGTATCATTTGCTGAGGGTTTTGTCCCATACATGAGAGCTCGTACAGCATCAGCACCAAGCTATGGATAAAACGTGTATTATTTGTGTTTTTTTTTACCCTTTCAGCGTGGGGTCTTTGTTCTTGTCGTCTTTGTGTTCACTGTACTTGTCCTAACCAGTTAGAACTGGATTGGAACAGTTGTGTGTATGATATGGTGAGAATCTGGCTGTTTTCAGTGAAACCAATATACCTTCAGGATATTTCCTCATTTTACACCGATTATCTGAACATACAGGACATCGCGGCTTCAACGTACAGATGGAAGTGTCAATTTTCTTTTCATCACAACGTTTCAATAAACATGTCGGATTCAGTATACATGCGGATAAATTCAAGTATTTTTTTTTGTATTTCAAAAAACAAAATATTATTATATTAGATAGCATGCTTTGTGCTGATTATGTAAGGCTAAACAACGTGGGCATAGGGTGTTTATCAACATATAAATGAAAAAAATTCCCATCTCCTTATTAAAACAGTAATGTGAAAAAAAACACCAATATGAATCTTCGCTTTACGCCATTACTAATACGTTTTGATTTTTAGTGACACAGACGATGAGCATAATTTCAAGTTTGCGACATATTGATGAATATTTGGGCCGATGATTTGTAACATGATATGAAATATAACCTATCAATTATAATAAAACCAAATCTGATCTTATTCCACACAAGTTTCCAAATTTGCTGTGTATAATTTAACATGAGTCATACATGTATGTCATTACACTGTTATATATACCATGCCTGTAGAATTCATAACCGTGCAACCCGTGAAGGTCCGGGTTAGAATGAACCTTCAGTAACCTACGCTTATCGTAAGAAGCGACTAACGGGATCGGGTGGTCAGGCTCGTTGGCTTGGTTGACACATGTCATCGGTTCCCAATTACGAAGATCGAGCTGGAATATTGCTAAGTGCGGCGTAAAACTAAACTCACTCACTCACTCACTCACTCATAACCGTCCACACGCACGTGTAAATATTAGTACTTTAATGTAAATCGTTAACCCTGGTTATATTTCAAGTGCTTGAAGAAACAGAAAAGTGACAACCCTAACACACAAAGGTCAAGTATGACGTCGGAGGTGAACATATTGCTTAGTAATCAATTTGTGCATAGGTCACGTCAGAGCTATTGAAAATGTGTGTGCGCGTGCGTGTGCGCGCGCATGTGAGTGAGTGTGTGTGTGTTGCAGTATAAATTCGATATTGAATGCGAAATTGTTAGACAATTGCCGGTGAATCGTGTACAAATATTCACAGTATGTGACTTAAATCCAACACACCACAAACATAATCCGTATTTGTGGCCTATGCTTGATGATTAGTAGTTTGTACAACCATACATTCGCAGCCACCAAAATAACTGTGCATTGTTAAAATTGTTTCATAATTGGAAATATATCCACAATGAAAAGTATTGATGTAAACTAAATAAATTGATACTGATGTCATACGAAGACAGAAGAACAGCATGTTTAATGTCCATGACATTCACATTGAGTCCAAATGCGAGGCAGGGGTCAAGTAGCAATCTCAGTAACGACTAGCAGATAGGAGAGCAGTACATCGCCGATTGAACCTGTGTGTGAAGATTCGGGTTAGAATTGATCTTCAGCAACCCATGCTTGTCGCACGAGGCGACTAACGGGGCCGGGTGGTCAGGCTCGCTGACTTGGTTGACACATGTCATCGTATCCAAATTGCGACGATTCAATGCTCAAGCCGTTGATCACTGGATTGTCTTGTCCAGACTCGATTATTTACAGACCGCCGTCATATAGCTGGAATATTGATGAGTGCGGCGTTAAACAACAAATCAACCAAACAACCATTGCGTGGAGTTTATGAACTGGGCATGGAAGTCTTGTGGGTTGGCTTGCCATGTTTACTGCAACCCTGTTCCCAAATAAATCACGAACGTCATCTTTCGGATTTGGTTTGCGGTATAAACGTCTTTCCATTTCATTACACATCCTTTCTTGGAGAGAGGTCAAGTGAAATTGCAGGACAAGGCAGTACTTAACATTGTGTTGTTGAAGAAAGTCCATAGCAAACACTAGCGGTGTGAGGGCGGGCATTATTCTGTTGAATGTCTATGAGCCATGACGTTGAAGAACCGGAATTGCTACTGGTCTGAATGCCGACATTCTGCCCTCAACCACAACGAAAGGGGTTTACTGACGTGTACTTAACACGGCAACTGTCCTTTACGATGGACATGATTTGGGCACCGCCTTTGGCGGTTTTGTGCAGAGGTCGTGTGGAGGGTCGACTTGGTCTTATCCCGCAATAATGTAATCGAAATCCTTGAATGGTCTGGGCAGTGGTCATTGCAGTCGGGAACCTATGCCAAGAGTTGATGGGTCACCAATGTCCATCTATCCGTCCTTCATTATTATTCTGATAACATCTTAACAGCGCCGAAATGTTTTGGGTGGCAATGGCTCTGCGCAGCACCCTGACACTGGGACATTGACCCACTGACCATTCCAATCGCCTCGGAACGTTCTTCAGTCGTTGCATTCATTATCAGTTTCGTTTTATAACAATCAAACGTCAAACAATACCAAATCGACAGCAGTTTTTGACGTTCATGCCCTCAACGCAGTTGACAGTGTTGCACGTGCCGAAACCGAAACCACCGACGTCCCAAAACGTAGCACATAAATGTGTGTTCAATTCATTTCACTAATTTACGTGTTAACACATCTAGTTCTCATATAAGTTTTAATTTCCTTGTGTATTTTTATGACTAATATGTTACATAGATTCGTACTTGTTTAACAGTAATAACAAGCACACAATCTATAACGTGAACAATATGTAATAACCATGTCACACAGGGGATATAACTTTCATTCCGTCGGACTTGATCTGATCATACACGTGCACAGGCCCGGACTTCGCGACATTATTTGATGTGTCATTTGCGGACGTGGACTTATCTGTTCAAAAGAGGTATATCGTGGACGGATTTTTTCCCGAAGGCTTACGTGTAGGACGATAATGAGTAATAATTTCCGCTTTCGTTAACAATTTCCGTTCCCTTTTCTGTCCCGACTTACTCTCTCCTGATCTTCGTACAAGGACTGATGTTTCAGTTGGAGGTGTACATTCAAGGATCCTTCTCCATTAAAGACAGTACTAACGTAAGGTAAGTGTAGATAGACAATCCCTTTTGGAACATAGCCATTTGTAATCATGGGTTGCCAAGTCCACTTTGTTCCTATTATTGAACACTGCGGATGGCATTGTGTTGTTATCTGAAAACAACTGATGGTTCTTCCTGAAATTTAAACGTTGTGGGACATTTAGAACCTCACCTCCCCCAAACAATGGTTTCTTTTGAGAATGTTACTTATATCCAAAGCAAATTCGTCGGCAAATTCAGGAGCATGCTGTCTATAAAATTAGAAGGGTCGTTCAGGCGGTGAGAAGCACAAAAAATATAAATGCTGGTAACACATTTTCCAAATTATATTGTAATTAGGGCTCCTTGCCTCTAAGCAGGATACCTATTGTAATTGTTCGGATTATTATTATGTTTTACAGATTAAAGATGAAAATTGCAGCAGAGAGGGTTCTTTATTCCGCCGATTTTTGTACCAAACATTAGTCCTAGACCAATGCTCCGAATCGCTTACATAAAAATCACACAGATGCGCACCGAGGTGTAGATATTCCCCTTAAAAATCTCTAGTCTCTAGGCCCAATAGCAAAGGGGAGATGTTTCAAAATTAAATCCAAAATTTCAAAGTTTGACAGCAAATATCCCAAGAACTAATTGTTCCAACACTTCTAAATCTCTTGTACAGATGAACAATTGAATTCCCAACAATTTTGCCTGGACGGGTCAAGTCGCTAAAACGTACCGTTTGGCAGTTATTTTTGTTTTCAGTTTTTGGCCATGTTTTTCAGCAGTTTTCTGAGTAGTTTGCTCCCAAAATGTCCAAATTCTGCACACAAAGTACCAGTATGGTAGATGAAGGCTTGGTGATTCCAGAACACTAATTGTTTTAACCGTAGACCCAAGAACAACTGAGATACAGCCATTTACAGCGGGAACTATTTCTTCTCCGGAAGTTACATGACCCCCGCGACCCCAGATGTATTTGGAAGATCCGCTCGCCTGTCAAAAACGTGTTCTGGCTCCGTTTTGGACGATGATTTCTAGCCCTCAGATACAATGGATAGATAGATAGGCCAAGGAGCCCTCACCGTTGCCTGCAACGATATTTATGATTTCGTTTTTTTCTTGACCATTGGTCAACACGCCTTTGTGAGTGTACCAAATACATGTTGTACATATCCAGTGGACATTCTTGTCAAACGTTCCTGAACATTACAAAATATTGATTCCGAATACTCTGGTTCTCCAAAGCTGATTGGAATACAGTCAGCTGAATTTGAATATTTATATCACAGGTTTATCGGGACAAGGGTATTGTATATAGTATACAATACATTTTACCTTCTCTCTTTTTTTAGGAATCTAACATAACATGGGGAAAATGAACCTAAAACTGACCTTGATTGCAATGACAACTGTGTATCAAATTGCAGGTAAGATATATCAGGTCAGATGTTAAGAAACCGCAATTAGTCAAGGGTAATTTATATTATGTCAAATATTGGAGTTATTTTGATAGATGTCAGTTGATAAGTGGAAGATAAGTAGGAGGATAATTTGGAGATAAACATACTGTCTTTGGAAATCAGAGGTATATCACGAATTATAATAGCACGTTTGGTTTTAAATTAAATTTAGAGCTATAATAATTCCGTTATATACCACTGATTTTCCAACACAGTACGTTTATCTCCATTCTACCATAACCGCGTTATTAAGATTTAAAACAAAATACACACTGTGTAACCATTGAAAATAAAGGTATATAACGTGATTATATACATGTGAATGACTTTGATTAACCAATCACAATCCAGTATTTACTGAGGACATGGTAGAATTCTTATTCTTTCGTTTATCATGTAGTAGGTTTCATGTTTAAACTTCTCGCACAATACCCCCCCCCCCCTCTCTCTCTCTCTCTCACTCACTCACTCACTCACCGTCTGTGTGTGAGGTGAGGGGAGGTGAGGGGAAATTGGGTTTTACGTCGTACTTGAGAATATTTCGTCATATGACGACGTGCATGCGTGTGTATGTGTATGTGCGGCTGCTTGTACTAGCTCAGACTTGAGCTGGTTTTATAGTGCTAGCCGAATGAGATACCATGCCGCTGTGAAGCATGAATACCCCACTCAGACACATTATACTGACTCCGAGCCGACCAGTGCTTGTTGTACCCATTAATGTCGAGCGCCAGGCAGGGACCAACAAGTACCATATTTTAACGTCTTTTGGTATGACGCGGTCGGGGATCGAACCCACGATCTTCCGCTCTCGGGCGGACGCTCTAACCATTACACCGCGGAGGCGGTCCCGTCTGTGTGTGATGTTATCAGTTATTCACATGCTTCAACCAAGACACTGCATCTGACCACCCACTGCATTCAGTCGATGACCAGTGCAGAGTTGCGTCCCTTGCATTCCACAGGATCCTGGTTCGACCTGTATGTTTTTCTAGGTTTGACAGCACCACACACGTGCTCAGGAGTTTTACCAAGGTAGTAAACTTCTGAAGGCACATTACTTCGGGCTTTCCTCCCTCATAAAGCTGACCCGCGAAGATCCTGGTTAGAATATTGATCTTCAGTAACCCATGCTTGTCGTAAGAGGCGATTAACGGGATCGGATGGTCAGGTTCGCTGACTTGTTGACATGTCATCAGTTCCCAAATCCGCAGATCGATACTCATGCTGTTGATTACTGGATTGTCTGGTCCAGACTCGATTATTTACAGACCGCCGCCACATAGCTGGAATATTGCTGAGTGAGGCGTAAAACTCGCTCACTTACCCTTATGAAGCTGACACTAGGTGATACAACTAGGATACTGTTTAAAGGGGCGGTAAACGTATTTACTGATACAATGGATACCTTCTGATTATTTGACTCGACAGAATATGCATTATGTAAATCATGAATGTTACTCACATGTACATTTATTTCTGACTGTAAATGCTCATACCATACCTGCTAGCTTTGATTCAATAAGCTACAATTACAGATTGAAAAATTCAACATCTGCACCATTTTTTACAGAGCTGATAAACATATATACAAATAAAGTCAATGAAGGTAATCCGATTGTCTTATGTTAATATAGACCACTTCACAATTCATTAAAGTGTATGTAGCCAACCTTCTTCATGTCTTTTTCCCAGCAAACCAGTGGAACGCCCCACTGCTGACGAAGAATGTAACCGGGGGGCAATCCGTGTCAATGACTTGCCGAGACCCCCCAAAAGGGAGATTAAGCTGGTATAAAATAGATGAAGCCGGAACCAGTCAAATCTCAAATGATAGAAGAAAACAAACAGATCAAAAGGGTGAGCAAGTCAAAACATTGATTACAAAACAGACTCGTTTCCTGCTGACTGGGCTCTATCCTATTGCGCAACATAGTACAATAACCAGTCCAGAATTTAGAGACCAATTCATTCAACTGGATACATAAACATTTCTCAGTATTATTTGATACATCTAAGCACTTGTATATTGCAACACTACGCTCCTTCCAATCCTTGCAAACACGTCGTGCAGTGTGCTCTGTCGTACAGTGTGCTCTGACAAACGGAAATCTGGAAATCGTGGAAATCTCAAAACGAGGCTCTGCCGCTGGAAAAGTTTGACGGTCTGGTACGGACTTGGTATTATATCAATCACATTGTATGTTACAAAACTACACTGGATAAGCACAAAGAATCCATAACAGGTGTAACCAGTGAGCTAGATGAATTATAAATCATTTTACGACCTCATCAAACAGGGGCAGTCTGTGACGTCCTAGTTAAGGTCATGCTGCCTACACCTCGCCATATCATATAGAAATACGATGTTATTAAAGTTTAAGATTGAAATTAACTTATGAATACAATTTTCTTATGACACAAAAAATTGGAATTCAGTGTAACCATAGTTGTTTGTGGTATCTCTTTTCACTTTCACACTAGAAAATCCGGAGCGGCTGAAAAGTAGGTCATTGTCTGAATATGTAATGAGACTCATGTTTCGGTTTGAACAATGATGTTTGACAGTGATTTGAAGTCCTCGTCATGTATGCATATTTTCCTTGCTATATGAGTTCAATTCAGTGATTTACTGCATCAATTTTGTGACTCAGGTACACTTCACTTTGTATACGTGGAAGTAACGGACACTGGCAAGTATAAATGCGGAAGCTCCATCGGCAGCTCCATAAATCTCGGTAGCCCGGTCCAGTTGAACGTCAAAGAAGGTAGGTGTGCTGAGGGAGTGACCCGGACCTTCACGGGTCGTAGGTGTTCTGAAATGGATTTCTTTGTGTGTAGTTAAACGCCTTACTAAGCAACACTCCAGCAATACGATCGCGGACAGTAAATAATCCAGTCTGGACAAGACAATTTAGTGATCAACAGCAGGAGCATCGATGTACACAATTCGTTTACGATGACATGTGTCTCCCAATCCCGTTAGTTGCCTTTATCGACAAGCGTTGGTTGCTGAAAGTTGCATGAAGAGCCAAGTTTTAACATTGATTGTCATCAAACCATAGGTGTAATATGTGGCAACGTAAGGACTAGGTGATAACTTTCCTGCATGTTTTATTCATTAAGGGCAAAGATCTGCTCAATCGGGCTCAAACCAATCTACGATGTCACTCGAGAAAGATACATGTTGGTTGACGTGGCCCAGTCAAGTGTGTATGCTGCAATACCTTATACCGGATTGTATACCACTATAACCTTTGTACTCATGTCAACAAAATGAAATGATCCCATCACCTAATTCAGTTTCTAACATGCATCTGAAGATTGTTATCGTTAACTGAATATGTGAAAAGTTGGTACAGTATTGGAAGTTTTATTCCAGGTGAAACCAACAGCAATGTACCAGTTAAGCTCTTGCGGTCTACCGGAAACACGTCTGCCAACCTGGGAGAAGACGTGACACTAGAATGTATCTTCGGCGGCAGGTACGCTTAGCTTTCTATGGGGCGATGAGGTAAAGGGCGTTCTTTAAAGGGGGTTGGGGTAGATTAGTGGTTAAAGCACTTGCTCGTATTGACAAAGGACCGGGTTTGATTCCGGTTGATTCCATATTGGAATTGACGTTTCTGTAATATTACTGCAGGTGACGTAAAACCAAATTCTACCACTCTTTGTAAAAGGCATAGTGATTCTGCAATTGAAGGATTCAGTATCGAAGTACAAACCTGTAAACTTGTTTTCGCTGCTAAATATAACATGACCAATACCTAGAGGACGTTTTGAAGTTGTATTGAGAAATACCACGTTCGGTGGGTAGCAACGTACCTATGTGAACCTGTCCGCAATACAGATACAAAACACATCATGGTAAATTCATCTTTCCAACCATTTTAGATGTTCTTGAAGCAAACCCAGCCATGTCAGTTTAAATAGATGAATACTAAAACATATTTCGATGTAAGATGTCAGGGCAAGAGAACAATCTTGATTTTCTTGTGAAACAGCACGCAAAGGCAATCTCGCGGTGAGAACTATATGGATGACTAGTGGCAGTAGGCGTTCGCGGAATGGTTAAACATCTGTTGCCCTATTGGGAGTAAACCCCCCCACCCCCACCCCCCACAAAAGTAAGACAAATCATTTTTTCTCTTTAACAGGCCAATCCCAACTGTTTCCTGGTTCCACCAGAATAGAAAGCTGAGCAACAGCGACAGTTTGACCATATCAAATAGCTCAATTACAATTAAACAGGTGTCTAAGACAGACACAGGTATATATAGCTGTTCCGGAAATAACAATGATGGAGAAGAGTCTGCAACTATGAATTTGAATGTCATAGGTAAGTAACACAATTTCAGTCTCTCTGTAAGTCAGTTTCTTTGTTACCTTAGATATCCATGTCACGTATACTTTAGGTTTGGTTTGGCTGTTGCTTAACGCGAGCCGGACCACCCGATCCCGTTAGTCGTCTAATACGACAAGCTAGGTTGTTGAAGACCAATTCTAACCCGGATCTTCCCGGGTCACACATACTTATAAACTTTAAAAAGATCAATCATCTAATTGACTTGTAGTTCTATGTTGAGTATAGAAATAATCATCTTTGCACATTTCATTAAATCTCTTCTTAGTCATCATAAAATAAATCAGTAAAGTAAATTTCTATACATGTATATTCCGCAGATCCAAATGAAGTACCACCTTCGACCAGAGGTAGGTTTAAATTTGCAAAAAAAAAATAACTTTAATAAAAGAATTTCAAGATTTGTGAAACATGTGAATGTTAACGTATGCTTATGTCGTTAAAAATGGAAAAGCTTTTAACACGTTGCACTAGCAAAGACGTTTTACACTTAACAATCCCGTCTTGAGATCTCTGCTACTGCTCTCTCAGAGGGGAAAGCGCTCTACAGCACAAACATCATCGAAAGACGTATCACTTCATTTGTGTATTTTTGAAAATTAGAATATTAATATATGAACTTTGTTTCTGTTTCCTCGCAGGTCACCGGGAAACAAAGCTGACAACGCTAGCTGTAGGGAAGACAGACATAGGAACTGCGAAACCGAATCCAGGCAAGAATATGATTAAAACAATGTAATGTGATTATGCAGGTCGGCTTAGCGGTTAGTGTTAAAATTATGCGTGTTTAAAGCGAAGGACATTTACACATGACAAATAAAATAGTGCGGGAAAACGTGTCACGAAAATGATTTTCTGGTTTCGTTATGTACGAGAATAGCATCTCTTCAGCATATCAGCGGAGCCAAAGCGTTGCAGCGACAGCGACGACCACACCTGTGGCAGATACCGTGCCACTACCAGCCGATCCCACTTCGAATCAGGACATGTGTATAGCGCTGATCTCCACACCCCATGAGCATGCTCTAAGCGCATACAACAGTTCAAGTCAATTTTAATATCTCCCAAAGAGATAGGCCTTGAGATGTGCTTTAAAAACGTCAAGTAAGGGAGAGTATCTCAGATCATAGAGAAGGAGATCCCGGAAATATATATTTGAACCTCCTGTGTAAAGAACAAGCTCACAGTTACTTATAACCGATGAAACTGTGCATGTGAACACGAACTATAAAATAAATAGCATTTTAAATGTAAATGTGACTATTTTTATATACTGACTCTGGTTGTTAATGTTTCAGCGATCGAAGCGGGGTCGGCTGGTAGTGGCACGGTATCTGCCACAGGTGTGGTCGTCGTTGTCGCTGCAACGCTTTGGCTCCTCTGATATGGTGAGAGTCGTGTTAATATTTCACTCTGTATGTCTGGAGGAGCGGGTGAAGGAAGGCCCTGGTCTAGATTTGTCCGCTCCATAACCCAGTCCTTCTCACAGTCCCTGAACCACATTGTTTCAATTCACCCAGCCCTTTCAGCAGTGTGCGAGAGTTCCCAAGTTTTGCTAGCCAGTCGGGCTAGCTATGTCTGAAAGTTACTAGCCCACAAAATATTTCACTAGCTCGAAATTTGAATGTAGAAACTAAGCAAAACATTACAAAAAGGTAAAATACCATCTTGCATGAATTAAAAGTGTATTATAACTTAACAAATCGGAGAGAGTGACATATTTACAAAATGACCCCACTAAAATTCACTAGCCATTAGGGCCAGTGACTGTGGAGATTTACTCGCCCGACTCGATTTTTACTAGCCACGGGCTAGCGGGGCAGTGGCTATTTCGTACACTGGCCTTTCAGCCATGCTAAAGACCAAAATGAAACGAATCTCGATTTTCCTCAGGTTCTGAATCCCCATCTCAATTTTCAATTAAAGAGGAAGCATTAATTTTGTTTCTATAGAAATTCTATATATTCACCGACTATGCATTAGTCTACTTCATTACCTTGCTCGTAGGTTTCCATCTAAGACCTTGGTCAATTCGTGATGTACGTCACACATCAAGCTTACATAACCGAAATACTCACCCACATTGCATTGTATTATCGGCATCTCGACCCTTTACAATTAATGTATGAAATGATCCTCTTTTCACTCAGTAACGTTTAGGTCTCTTACAATTTAATAAGTAAACGTGTTACTATTATTTTTCTTTGATTTCAGATCCATGCTTAAAATGAGTCCTTTGGGCTCGTTGAGGTACCACGACAACTCCCGCGGTTGTATAAAAGAAGAATGAACAATATAATGTGGGTTCGCCTTGTAGATTGCATTGAGGAGATGTTTGTTAACGGAACCCTCAATTGAAGCTTTATGTGTATTTGACGTCATTCCTCATAAGGGACCGTTCATAATTTATGGCTAGGGGTGGGTGGAGATGGGGGGTGATGATTATTTTTATGGAGAAGCATTTACAATGTGGATGACCCCCCCTAAAATTTATGTACAAAATCAATGCCCCCCTCCCCATAATTTTAAACGTATTTTATGTACAAAATTGCTGACACCCTACCCCCCAGTACGTGTGTACAAAATTGCTGTCCCCCCTAGATCCCCAGAACAAAATGGGTGACCCCCCTTAAAATCATCATCAGCCCCCTAGCCATAAATTATGAACGGTCCCTAATGCCATATGTGTATGATAAATATTGCATTTATTGCCTATTGCTTGAAGTTCCGATAGACTATTACACGTCGCTCGAAGCGTAAGTTTATTAATTTAGGTTCGACTCCCTCATGTTTCAAAGTCACATGACGAGTTTCCTTGTGAAATAAATGATACATTGTATATACTGTACTATGTAAGGCTTTTCGCTTTTTAGATATTGAATGTTATTTTGCGTGTAACCTATTTTTATCATATATTTGTGCTTCTAAACCATTGCCAACTTTTGTATGTAGGAGAAGATTATGTCTACCATTGTCTACGTTTTTATAATGCAGCCTTATGATATTATAATACAAGTTATGGTTTCAATTAGGTAAGCACAGTGCATGACACAACGGCGGCAAGTATTTCAACATGACTAACATTTAATTCATTAATCTTTACAATACGTTTACAGTTGATCTTTGTTTTATATTTGGAATATACACTTTAATTAAGAAAAACAAACTTCATTCGTGTCCATGATTGAACAAGTATTTAGACTATGTATTCGAACGCACACTTAATGCCACCTTTCGATTGTTTAAAATATATCTTACAATGTTGATCAATAAAATGTGCATGAAAAATATCAACGTCTGTCGATTTTTACATTACCTATTCTGACACATGTATATCATTAAAAGAGTCCTCCAATGTATATTAGATAAACGTCAAGCTATCCTCTTGCAAAGGATAATATTATATGCGACCAGTTGTAAATATTTTGAACATGTTGTATGTGTCATTTGACAAATCAGCTTGCCTGGGGTATAGTGAAAAATACATTGCGAACATCAACAATTATGTGTCTTTTATCAACCTACCTCACGAATAACGGGTCAGCTCAGACAGTCTCTTCAAAGTCGTATCATATGGTTATACTATATAATCAGAGATGTGTATTGTAAATCCATGGGATGTGAATTGTAATCCCTGGGACGTGAATTGTAAAGTGGGTTCCCAGACCTCTGCTGTGACTTTGCACTGATCATTTCTAAACCTAGGATACTATTCATGATTGATACAACTTTGTCTTGCTATCACATTATTGAAAACCTCCATTATATAGTGGCAATAACTGGTTTCGAACCTGCAACCCTTTGCTCTCTAACTAGGCGCTTTTATCCACTAGGCTACGAAGGATCACTGTGAAGAATGAGATGAAACGGGTGTTTCTCACAAGACGGGTACTTCGGGCAGTCCACGTGCAGGGAACGGGGAGCACGTGCATTGCGCGTGCAAGGCAAGGTGTTGGCTGCCAGTCGCATCCCCGTTGACACCGGCTGTCCCATCAATGTTGTTCTGCTCTGCGCGTATTGATGTCGATCGTAAAATACTATTTTAAAATATATTTTACGCAAAAACGGTTGATAAGTCAGAAAAACCAATCCTACTCGGGTTTACTAGAACATCCCTCCTCTCAGGGTTCACAATCTCTAGTAAACCCTCGTAGTCGTGGTTTCTCCTATACGTAGCGACCGCCTCCGTGGTGTAGTCGTTAGAGCGTCCGCCCGGAGAGCGGAAGGTCGCGGGTTCGATCCCAGACCGCGTCAAACCAAAAGACGTTAAAATATGGTACTTGTTGGTCCCTGCCTGGCGCTCGGCATTAATGGGTACAACAAGGACTGGTCGGCTCGGAGTCAGTATAATGTGTCTGAGTGGGGTATTCATGCTTCACTTCGGCATGGTATCTCAGTGGGCAAGCACTATAAAACCAGCTTAAGTCTGAGCTAGTACAAGCAGCCGCACATACACATACACACGCATGCACGTCGTCATATGAGCGAAATATTCTCAAGTACGACGTTAAACCCACTTTCACCTCACCTCCTATACGTAGCATACATAGAGAGATATTGACTATGTTATGTGAAAACCTGTAACCAAGGATATTATATGTCAGGTCCATTCTACAGTAGAAAACCGAAACCGGAGAAGAACGGGACTTTCATGAATCACGGATCACTGTTCGGGTCATCTTGAACATAGAGAACGAGTCATTTGGATTGAAATGCACGCTCGTTGCATGCAGTATGGAGAGATGTGTACATGGGTTTGACTTGTGACACAAAAAGCGTGTGTGTGGGGGTTGTGTGGGTTGCGTGGGTGGGTGGTGTGGTGGGTGGGTGGGTGTGTGGTGACGCGCAGATTTAGTACCAAGAGTTAAAATGTATAGCCTTGTTGTAGAATACATTGTATAGATTTGAAAATATTGGCGACAAAACCCTATCCAATGGCCATACGAAATCTCTGACTAACATAACATCCGCTTGTATCTCGAGTATGTGTTTCAAGGTCAATATCGAAGATTGATGACACTCTGTCTTCGTGAAAGGTGAGCATGTCCTCTCCAAGCGTTGACATTCGGCATACACACATGCAAAGGCAAGTCAATTGTTCTATTGAACTTAGACGAGAACATGTGAAATCCTGTCTTGTGAGTAGGAACACTTAGTTTCAAATAAAACACACACGATTGTTTGAAGACAAATCATTGTTTGACCACAAACACGACACTGGACACTGTGGTTGTTAAAGATTCAGTTTTGAATGCTCATGAAGTATTTCCTGAAGCCTAATTCTACGAAGAATAGGTATTTTGTTAATCTTGCAGTGTTTGTAACGAAGCTTGGTTTCACTGCTATCTGAGTAAGGAGGTGAATGGTTATTCGGGTGAGGCAGATGGTTTGCTGTAGGAACACTACATGACATCGCAGATGAGTTATATGAGGAACGTGATGAGCGAGCGTGCAGGACATGGCAACATCCTGACGTTGTTGGCTGCAATGAAGTCGTGTACAATTCTGGCGGTACAGAGTTTGGCGTTGACATGCAGATCGGGGAAACCATGTGACATAATAGAACTAGTAGTTAAAATGGACGAAGAATGTCATTCATGCAAAGATGAGCTTTGAAAGTCCCGTTAACGATGACCCCAGGATTAAGTTCGTAGGCTCCAAGGGGCGGTGGGGTGGCCAAGTGGTTAAAACGTTCGCTCGTCACGCCGAAGACCCGGATTGGATTCCCCACCCGAGTACAATGTGTGAAGATCATTTCTAGTGTCCCCGTTATGATATTGCTGGAAAATTGCAAAAAGCGGCGTAACGCTAAACTCACTCCCTCGTAGCTTCAAATGTAGAGTTAGAATAGAGTTCAGTTCCTGGCAGTAGTAGCAACAGATGGTTTCGTCTGTGTCGTTGGATAATCGAGACTGGTGTTGACGTTCAATAATCAGATCAAGGTCTATACAGGACATGTTATTAAAGAACATCCACGTCAACTTTCCTTATGATACAGAACTATATTAACTATGTTCCTGTGTCTGTAGATCAACGATTTCACTGAATACTATCACTGAACATGTTTTCAAGACAGCTATTTATCAACCATCTAGATATGACAAGCAGATGCCACCAGCGCAAGTCTTTTCCCTTCCCCCACCCCATATCCCTGGCTGCCACTGATTTTCTCCATCGAGGAGGCACGTGGATATTGTACTGACCCGATGAGGCGCCTGGAAAGAGCCCAATGCAACATCTGAACTTTTGGGAGTAGAGTGAACACGACTGGACTCTTGAGATGCCAGAATTAGTTTTACACGCCTTCACTTTCATTTTATCAGTCTCGTTATTTTTGCGGTTGCGTATAACGTTGCTGCACTTGCTACGTGGGTCAGTACAGATTGCGGAAATTTTATACTGTTTCAATTCCTATATCCAAAAATATACATCAGCCGTCACTTAAACTAATATATGATTGTACATTAGCAACGTTTATACCCCGTATGAAATATAAGACATAGTTTCATATTCCTCATCAAACCTAATACTGAACAGATCCCCACATGGGTACAATGTGTGAAGCCCATTTCTGGTGTACCCCGCCGTGATGTTGCTTGAATATTGCTAAAAGCGGCGTAAAAACAAACTCAGTCAGTCAGTAATATTGAACAGAGGCTTTTGAAGCAGGAATGACTTCTGCTTGACAATGGTACAAGAATCTGTATGGAAACGTCGCATTCACGAAAACAGAAGTTGTTATCCATGACGTTTGTTCAATACTGAACAAGATAATTGTCGGTAGGCATAATCGGTAGGATATTTATAGTACATAAAACCATGGTTGCCATTTTTGAAAATATATAATTATGCATAGTGATACGTTTAGTGCAGAGAGAAATGGGAACACGAAGATTGCCTAATATGGAGATTGGGACAACAGAAGAGGTAACAGGGGCAAAAAATACATCTGTCGTTTTTGACATCAAGAGGGTTATTTCTATTGTGTAAAAGTTCTTTGCATTTTTTCTGTATGATAGACACCCAGGTACAGCATGGAAAATGTGTCAGTTTTGGCATGCAGAGAAATGGTTTTATTCCAGCAATGACCTGCACAATATTGGTGTCAGCGTTGATCCCAATAGGGAAGCGAAGTTATGATGCGCTGGAATAGAGCATGGCGTTATGACGTCGTGACATTAGGAAAGTGATACAGATGTCCTGAGTCATTCGTTTGTAATGTACTTGATTCAACTGTGATTGAATCTCCATTGTTTTGCAATGTACGAGTCATACTTGTGGAATCGTGTTAGAATACATCCATATTTGGATAGATGAAAAATAATTCGATGTAACAATAGTGGTAGTAATACAGGCCTCTGTATAGTTCACACAAACTAAGGTCAAATATTTAGCACACTGTATTTTGACGTTATGTAGCAAATTAAGTATGATATATTGTCCAATAATCTTCTGAAAATTCAATGCATCTCAGTTTGTTTGTTCTTTAAGTAATGTTCCAGCTATATGATTGTTGCCTGTAAAGAATCGAGTCTGGACCAGACAATCGAGTGACCAACATCGCGAGTATTTATCCACACAATTAGGATGGGATATTATGACATGTATCAACCAAGTCGGCAAGTCTGATTGTTGAAGAAAATATTAACCTGATGTTTTTGATTATTTGGTGTTTAACAATTTTAGCAATAATTCAGCAATACGACGGCGGTCTGCAAGTAATCGAGCCTGGACCAGACAATCCAGTGATCAACAGCATGAGCATCGATCTGCGCAATTGGGGTACGATGACATGTGTCAACCAAGTCAGCGAGCCTGACCACCCGATCCCCGTTAGTCGCCTCTTACGACACGCATAGGTTACTGAAGATCAATCTTCTAAACCGGACCTTCACGGGGCACACGATTGGGATACGATGACGTGATTGTGTCAACCAATTTCGCATGGGTTACTGAAGATCAGTTCTACCCCGGATCTTCACGTGTCTTAACCTGATGTGATGTCAGTGTCGTAAGCTGCGCCGGTTTCATTTTCGATATTTTGACTTAGCAAAATGCTTTTTTCCGTGCCAGCTTTCTTGTTTATATATTTAGACATTCACCTAAAGCGGGCATTATACGTAAGCGATTACAGCTGTGAACATTCATGTCACATTTACCCTCCATTGAGGTAAGATAAGGGTTGTGAACGACATGCGTAGCTTTAATGTTCTTGTTATTTCAGGTATAACTCTCATGGGTAGTATTGGGTTCTGGGCACATTGAGCTGATCTAAGGTTTTAATGTATAAGTATTACAGTTATATGAAGAGATGCTGATAAATTATCTATGAGTCTGTACATGCCGTGGTACATGCCGTGGTGGTGTGTGGTCCTGTGCATAGAGTTCAGGTCGAATAATCCAAATTGCATAGCAAACAACGAAGCACACGTGATACATGTGGTCTCACCTCAGGTATGTGAGTTTGTTCAAAATTGCTTCTGTTCACTCAGCAGAAAATGGGTACCCGGTGGGATGGGTCATGTGAATATTAACCTTACATTCAGCTTGGCTTATTCGGGGTAATAATAATCAGATTTTTGGGAGCTTCGAGCATGCATAGTGCATGGAGAAATGGGCATGATAAATAGACTGTTATTATTGAACTCATTCATTGCATTACCATGACGGTCTCGTACGTTTCTGTGTATTTAATGATTCAACATATGCTAAGGGGCGATGGGGTAGCCTAGTGGTTAACGCGTTGGCTCGTCACGCCGAAGACCCGGGTTCGAATCCCCACATGGGTACAATGTGTGAAGCCCATTTCTGGTGTCCCCCGCCGTGATGTTGCTGGAATATTGCTAAAAGCGGCGTAAAACCAAACTCGGTCAGTCAGTGAACATATACTAAACAAGGAGCGCCAATGGTGAGACATGTGGGAGTCTAACGTACCTTTAAACTACTACATGTAGGGTGTTTACACAATGCCATTTAGAAAGTGGTCAACCGAAACATATGCTTTATTTGGGATTACACTTTCTTAGTGAAGTACGAATTCTAGTACTTTTGGGGGTTGAGTCCCTGAGACTCTGAGGGTGTGGGTTCAACCCCAAAACAGTACTAGAATTCGTTGTTTACTAAGAAGGTGTAATCCCAAATATAACATATGTTGTACATGTAGGGTGGTTTGTGTTAAGCGTTGCAGGAGGATGGTTGTCTTTACAACTACCCTGTACGTGCACCTGGTTAAGTTGAATGATTCGACAAAGATGCAACCGAGTCTTGGCTTGGAGCGTTCATTATTGTGTGCCGCATCTGTGTGTAACATGATGTGAATAAATTAGCATTAACGTATTCTTGGACGTCAACAATTTGTTTTCGTACCCTTCATTGCGTTTTGCAATATATTGTTCTGATCAACGCCAGGGATCTCGTAATGTATTGATCACAATCCTGTTTCGAACATCTATTCTAAATAAGAGCGACAATAACGTATTCCAAAATGATTCGGGGATGAAGACACAATTACATCTTTAGATCGTTTGTACATTTACTTGTAGTATTTAACAAGAACATGCTGATAATCCGCTTGGCAGTATTGGTGTTAACAGCGGTATATGCCATTGTGGGTGAGTAGAACGCTTTGATTCACATAACTGTTCTTGCAGCATGTATGCCATCATTTGTAGCTTTATACATGGATATATAACATGGTTCATTCTTTGGAAAATGACAACTTTTGCATTCCCTGATAATTACGTTTTCGATGCTTTAGATACATTGCTGTGAAGAAAGGCCTTGACATTGTAAGTGGGTACTTTGACGTTGCTTTGGGTATTTAGCTGGGAGTTTAGTTTTCCCACATCATTATTTTGTTGGCCTGCTGACGGAAGTTACCTCTGTCCATATGAACTACACGTCAGAGCCCGGAACAGAATCCCATAATGGGACAGAGAATCTCGATGGATACAACGAGATTTCTTGTTTGTTTGATGGATCAATAAAACAAACAAGGCATGCATTAATTTACTCAGGCGGAAATGTCATTACATTTCATGAATGATATGATATGAAGTGAGTTTTGAAAATTGCAAAACTGACTTCTCGTTAAGGCTAACAGCTGCTTAAGTCAAACTCACTCATTTGATAGAGTACGTATTATTAAAATAATTGTTTAAGTTCTAGTGCAGCATTCTTGTTAGTCATCTTGCTTCTTCGGTGACTTAGTTGATAAATGCCATCGTATCCCAATTGCGTAGATCGATGTTCATGATGTTGATCACTGGATTGTCTCGTCCAGACTTGATTATTAACAGACCGCCGCCATATAGCTAGGATATTCCTGAGTGCGGCGTTAAAATAACAAGCTAAACAAACAAGCAATCATATATGTATATATTTTATATATAAATAAAAGATGAGTTTCTAAATGAAAATGAGTCCAGATATTTCCTTGTCGAAAACGCCATTATCTGCACTTATCGTATCCTTTATAGTGCAGATACAGGAGCTTTTGACAAGAAGAAATAACTGGACTAATCATTTATGTATTTAAGGCTTATGCACCTGCAGAAATCTCATATATATATATATATATCAATAGTCTCCATTATACAGACACACACACACACAGACACACACATACATACATATATGTATACACAAACATATATTATGGAGACTATTAATATGTGTGTGTGTGTGTGTGTGTGTGTGTTTGTGTGCATATATTATGAATATACAGATATACATATACATGTAGATACCTACATACGCCCCTTTCCATTACTTCTTTCAGCTAACTCACAGTCATGGAATAACCGAGCTCCCCTGATCAGCAAGTATGCAACTGACGGACAGCCGGTTTCACTCACGTGCCGCAAACCAGCCCCAGGGAATGTTGGGTGGTATAGACTTAGAGGAGGATATGTTTTCAATATCAACGTCGAGCCCAGGATACAAATATCCGCCAAAGGTAGTCATTACCAAATTATCCCAACAGCCCAACAGTAAGAGGAACGCCCATAAGCATAATTAATTCTGGACAAGCTACATATTAAACAAACATTTCGTCTGAGTTTTGCCATAAATGTATTTTAGTTGCATTTAGAAAACATATTTATTACCATAAACACCTGGAAACTTCCAATACTCACCTCATTTAACCTGATCAATGTTCTAACACTAAACCCGTTAAGCTCCGGGTTAGAATTGATCTTCAGTAACCCATCCATGCTTGTCGTAAGAGCAGACTAACGGGACCGGCTGGTCAGGCTCGCTGACTTGGTTGACACATGTCATCGGTTACCAATTGCGTAGATCGATGTTCATGCTGTTGATCACTGGATTGTCTTGTCCAGACTTGATTATTTACAGACGGCCGTCATATAACTGAGATATTGATGAGTGTGGCGTAAAACTAAACTCACTCACTCACTCTAACAGCATAATGTAATTGGATTTTCTGTATGTTACAGGAACACTTTACTTCTCATATGTTAACATCATGGACACTGCGGTATACAAGTGCGGCGTCACCACCTCGTCTACCATACAACTCGGTAGTCCGGTCCAACTGAACGTCACGAAAGGTACATTAATCAATACCATTGAGTTTCTCAGTATTTTCAAAAACCAAAGATTCATCAAAACGTACACATATAATATAGTAATAAGTGAGTGTGGTTTACGCCTCTTTCAGCAAGTATCCAAGCAATATCGCGGCGATGGGCACAGGAACTGGGCTTCCCACATCGTACCTATGTGGGTGTTTGAACCTGGGGATTTTGGTGTGACGTGCGAAAGTTCTTACTACTAGTATCCCAACTGCCAAACGCGATATAGTAAGTGTCAACAGAAACTATTTCCTCTATTCTGGCGAAACATCCAGCTGTTGACACAAAAGTGTAATGTTGCCACACAAGTGAATGATTAATGACACATGCGAAGCGGGAAAAGGCACGAGCTACTGTTCTTGATGGTATTTGTTTCAGGTAACGTCGCAGACACGTGGCCAGTACTCATGTATTCGAGCGAGACAACGGACGCTACACAGGGACAGGCTGTAACACAACAGTGTATCTTCAGCGGCAGGTGCTCATAACGAAATGCTCTTTCTCTGAAATGGTCATTTGTTTCATTAACCGAAAGTACAAACACTACAAAGAAAGGTACATTCATGTCGAATTCTTTGGACCCAAGGAAATATTTCGAGTTATCCGTAGTTCAAAACAACCTAAAAAATAATGACTATATAAGAGAGAAGCTTTGACTTCGAGACAAAAATAAATTCGATACAACTTCGCATACAGTATCTTGTCACCAGCTCATTTATTAATACAGTAACTGTTTTTCTTGCGATAAATTCGATAAGATTATGGTTTCAGTCAAGGTTCACAATGTAATATGTATTTAGATTTGAATGCTACCGTTTTTACAGACCCGTTCCAGTAGTTACCTGGTACCGTGACGACAAGCAAGTGACTAACACTACTCGTGCTGAACTATCTTATACCACCGTTACTATCAAGAACGTGTCTGATGGGGACGCAGGAATATATAGATGTGCTGGGAAGAACGGCGTCTCGTCTGACTCCCATGACGTCACTTTGATTGTGACGGGTAAGTAACAACATTTCCCAATATCGATACAATAGATCAGTCGATGAGTGCAGTTTTATTCAAGTAATTTTTTAATTATTTGTGATTTGATAAAAACACTGATGATACAAATGACCAAATATCATACTTTATTGTTTTCATTTTACAACACATATCAAGCTGGAGTACTACTTCCCGCTGATATATCGTATCATATTATCTCTCCTATCCGTTTGTCGAATTATCCCTTCCAAAAATCCAACTGCAATAACAAGCTCAGTCAAAGGTTGGTCCACATGAGTGATAGCTTCTTGTTCCTTGTAAGGATAAAGGTTGTTCCAGATGAATGATAGGTCCTTGTTCCTTGTAAGGATAAAGGTTGGTCCACATGAGTGATAGCTCCTTGTTCCTTGTAAGGATAAAGATTTGTCCACATGAGTGATAGCTTCTAGTTCCTTCTAAGGATAAAGATTGGTCCACATGAGTGATAGCTTCTTGTTCCTTGTAAGGATAAAGGTTTGTCCACATGAGTGATAGCTTCTTGTTCCTTGTAAGGATAAAGGTTTGTCCACATGAGTGATAGCTTCTGGTTCCTTGTAATGATGAAGGTTGGTCCACATGAGTGATAGCTTCTTGTTCCTTGTAAGGATAAAGGTTTGTCCACATGAGTGATAGCTTCTTGTTCCTTGTAAGGATAAAGGTTGGTCCACATGAGTGATAGCTTCTTGTTCCTTGTAATGATGAAGGTTGGTCCACATGAACGATAGATCCTTGTTCCTTGTAAGGATAAAGGTTTGTCAACATGAGTGATAGCTTCTTGTTCCTTGTAAGGATAAAGGTTTGTCCACATGAGTGATAGCTTCTTGTTCCTTGTAATGATGAAGGTTGGTCCACATGAACGATAGATCCTTGTTCCTTGTAAGGATAAAGGTAGGTCCACATAACTGATAGCTTCTTGTTCCTTGTAAAGATAAAGGTTAGTCCACATGAGTTGATAGAGTACGTATTAGTAAAATACTTGTGTAGGTTCTGGTGCAGCATTCTCGTTAGTCATTTTGCTTCTTCGGTGACTTAGTTGACGAATGCCATCGTATCACAATTGCGTAGATCGATGTTCATGATGTTGATCACTGGATTGTCTCGTTCAGACTCGATTATTAACAGACCGCAGCCATATAGCTAGGATATTCCTGAGTGCGTCGTTAAACTAACAAGCTAAACAAACAAGCAATCATATATGTATATATTTTATATATAAATAAAAGATGAGTTTCTAAATAAAAATGAGTCCGGATATTTCCTTGTCGAAATATTATAGTGCAGATACAGGAGCTTTTGACAAGAAGAAATAACTGGACTAATCATTTATGTATGTAAGGCTTATGCACCTGCAGAAATCTCATATATATATATCAATAGTCTCCGTTATACAGACGCACACACACACATACATATATGTATACAAACACATATATATCATGGAGACTATTAATATGTGTGTGTGTGTGTTTGTGTGCATATATTATGAATATACAGATACACATATACATGTAGATACCTACATACGCCCCTTTCATGTTTATTCCATTACTTCTTTCAGCTAACTCACAGTCATGGAATAACCGAGCTCCCCTGATCAGCAAGTATGCAACTGACGGACAGCCGGTTTCACTCACGTGCCGCAAACCAACCCCAGGGAATGTTGGGTGGTATAGACTTAAAGGAGGATATGTTTCCAAGCTCAACGTCGACCCCAGGATACAAATATCCGCCAAAGGTAATCATTACCAAATTATCCCAACAGCCCAACAGTAAGAGGAACGCCCATAAGCATAATTAATTCTGGACAAGCTACATACTAAACAAACATTTCGTCTGAGTTTTGCCATAAATGTATTTTAGTTGCATTTAGATAGCATATTATTTTCCATAAACACCTGGAAACTTCCAATACTCACCTCATTTAGCCTGATCAATGTTCTAACACTAAACCCGTGAAGGTCCGGGTTAGAATTGATCTTCAGTAACCCATGCTTGTCGTAATAGGCGACTAACCGGACCGGCTGGTCAGGCTCGCTGACTTGGTTGACACATGTAATCGGTTCCCAATTGCGTAGATCGATGCTCATGCTGTTGATCACTGGATTGTCTTGTCCAGACTTGATTATTTACAGACGGACGTCATATAACTGGAATATTGCTGAGTGCGGCGTAAAACTAAACTCACTCACTCACTCACTCTAACAGCATAATGTAATTGGATTTTCTGTATGTTACAGGAACACTTTACTTCTCATATGTTAACATCATGGACACTGCGGTATACAAGTGCGGCGTCACCAACTCGTCTACCATACAACTCGGTAGCCCGGTCCAACTGAACGTCACGAAAGGTACATTAATCAATACCATTGAGTTTCTCAGTATTTTCAAAAACCAAAGTTTCATCAAAACGTACACATATGATATAGTAATAAGTGAGTGTGGTTTACGCCTCTTTCAGCAAGTTTTCAAGCAATATCGCGGCGATGGGCACAAGAACTCGGCTTCCCACATCGTACCTATGTGGGTGTTTGAACCTGGGGATTTTGGTGTGACGTGCGAAAGTTTTAACTACTAGTATCCCAACTGCCAAACGGGATATAGTAAGTGTCAACAGAAACTATTTCCTCCATTCTGGCGAAACATCCAGCTGTTGACACAAAAGTGCAACGTTGCCACACAAGTGAATGATTAATGACGCATGCGAAGCGGGAAATTGCACGAGATACTGTTCTTGATGGTATTTGTTTCAGGTAACGTCGTAGACACGTGGCCAGTACTCATGTATTCGAGCGAGACAACGGACGCTACACAGGGACAGGCTGTAACACAACAGTGTATCTTCAGCGGCAGGTGCTCATAACGAAATGCTCTTTCTCTGAAGGCCCGTGAAGATCCGGGGTAGAATAGGTCTTCAGCAACCCATGCTTGCCACAAAAGGCGACTATGCTTGTCTTAAGAGGCGACTAACGGGACCGGCTGGTCAGGCTCGCTGACTTGGTTGACCCATGTCATCGGTTCCCAATTGCGCAGATCGATGCTCATGTTGTTGATCACTGGATTGTCTGGTCCAGACTCGATTATTTACAGACCACCGCCATATAGCTGGAATATTGCTGAGTGTGGCGTAAAACTAAACTCACTCACTCACTCCTCTTTCTCTGAAATGGTCATTTGTTTCATTAACCGAAAGTACAAACACTACAAAAAGGTACATTCATGTCGAATTCTTTGGACCCAAGGAAATATTTCGTAGTCATCCGTGGTTCGAAACAATTTAAATAATAATGACTATATAAGGAATAAGCTTTTACTACGAGACAAAAATATATACGACACAACATCGCATACAGTATCTTGTCACCAGCTCATTTATTAACACAGGAAAGAATTTTTCTTGCGACAAATTCGATAAGATTATGGTTTCAGTCAAGGTTCACAATGTAATATGTATTTAGATTTGAATGCTACCGTTTTTACAGACCCGTTCCAGTAGTTACCTGGTACCGTGACGACAAGCAAGTGACTAACACTACACGTGCGGAACTATCTTATACCACCGTTACTATCAAGAACGTGTCTGATGGGGACGCAGGAATATATAGATGTACTGGGAAGAACGGCGTCTCGTCTGACTCCCATGACGTCACTTTGATTGTGACGGGTAAGTAACTATCACTTCCCAATATCGATACAATAGATCAGTCGATGAGTGCAGTTTTAATTACTATTATACGAGCATATTGTCTCTCCGAAATCATGAAGACATGTAGTCGGGAATACTGCGTAGAGCGTTACTTACACCCGTGGAGATGTGGCTTACAACTGACCTGGTCGCAAGATGCGAATAACTCATTGTCGCCATTCCATTTGCGTACATCGATGAGTATGATGTGAATGGTCCAGACTGGTTGTCTCCCAAAACTTAGACACCCATGCCATATCTTAGACAACCATTTCTTAGACACTAATGAGGGAGATTTATTAAGACAACACCCACGGCTGAAATGGAACAGTCCTAATTAGTGCTCCCTGCTTAGTGGACCTAGCTTGTATTGATCAACAAATAATATCAACTCAACAAGGGGGATTAAGTTTGAAGATACATCATATGTTTTCCTTTGAAAATCTCCTCACAAGGTTTCAACTGTTTTGATACTCTTAGTGGACTACCTTTCAAATAGCTATGATAATTAAAACAGTAAAGTATGTATAAACTGTTGTATTTAACTGTTATTAATCCCATCAACTACTACAATCATAGAGTACTTTCTTCTGTTTAATGTTAGATGTAAAAAGTACAGCCCTAGATTCGGTAATTATTGCAATATGGTTGGACTGAGAAAGGTAGAAATCGTTACATGACAGAAGGGTACACCGTTACATCACAGAAGAGTACACCTCAAGTTTTTCTTGACGGGTATCCGTACAACAGGATCAAAGTAAGGCAGACCTGAACGGTTACTTACAGACCATGGCCTAGATTTTCGAAGCTCTCGTAGCGCTAAGATAGTCGTAAGTTAATGTTGACGTATGGCAATTACGACTATCTTAGCGTTAAGTGAGCTTCGAAAATCTAGGTCCATCATTTCGCTGTAATATGGCTGCATTAAACAAGAAGAAACAATAATGTAATTAAGACCTCGTAGAAATATTGCTATGGATTAAAAAGGGACAAGTAAACATGGCTTTCTGTGTGTGTTGGTGTGTATATAGTAAGCTCATCCCCACACACAAAGACTATCACCACATCACATCGCATCTTACATAGTTTTTCAACATATCATTTTTGATACATGCTTTAATCAGACTCCGAAGAGATAACAAGCACGGTCGCGGGTTGTTCAATATTATAGCGCGAATGAAAGCGCATTGCTAAATGTTAAGTCTCCAACCCTGTCATAGTAAGAAATTGGTAGATATAATATGTTGTCGGAATACGCTGTAATATGTGATGTGTTGCACTTGAAATTTTGGAATAAATTTAATGATATTTTTATACATGGTATCAATGTTCCTTTATGCACAAATAATAATCTCAGTCATGTTTAGGGCACGTGTCTGTGGACGACGAATCACTAACAGTCAGATGTTTGGTGGAAGATAAACGATGACGATGTGTTCTGACATCTGTAATCCTTTATTTCAGAATGTCTGTCAATATGCATAAAACTGACTAATCAAATCCTTGGTTTGATGAATATTTCAGATAACTTTTTTGCTCTCTGTGTACCTACAGATGAAACCAGATCTACCGTGACAGGTGCAGACCTGACTCAGAGTGAGTGAATATCAGAATGTCCTCCAATATACCTAAGACTATCCTTCACTTCAGAATGTCTGCTAATATACCTAACACTATCTTATCAAATCCTTGGTTTGATGAATATTTCAGATAATTTTTTTGCTCTCTGTGTACCTACAGATGAAACCAGATCTACCGTGACAGGTGCAGACCTGACTCAGAGTGAGTGAATATCAGAATGTCCTCCAATATACCTAAGACTATCCTTCACTTCAGAATGTCTGCTAATATACCTAACACTATCTTATCAAATCCTTGGTTTGATGAATATTTCAGATAACCTTTTTGCTCTCTGTGTACCTACAGATGAAACCGGATCTACCGTGACAGGTGACAAGTGAGTGAATATCAGAATGTCCTCCAATATACCTAAGGCTATCCTTCCCTTTCAGAATGTCTGCTAATTTACCTAACACTATCTTATCAAATCCTTGGTTTGATGAATATTTCGGATAATTTTTTTGCTCTCTGTGTACCTACAGATGAAACCAGATCTACCGTGACAGGTGCAGACCTGACTCAGAGTGAGTGAATATCAGAATATCTTCCAATATACCTAAGACTATCCTTCACTTCAGAATGTCTGCTAATATACCTAACACTATCTTATCAAATCCTTGGTTTGATGAACATTTCAGATAACTTTTTTGCTCTCTGTGTACCTACAGATGAAACCAGATCTACCGTGACAGGTGCAGACCTGACTCAGAGTGAGTGAATATCAGAATGTCCTCCAATATACCTAAGACTATCCTTCACTTCAGAATGTCTGCTAATATACCTAACACTATCTTATCAAATCCTTGGTTTGATGAATATTTCAGATAACTTTTTTGCTCTCTGTGTACCTACAGATGAAACCGGATCTACCGTGACAGGTGCAACTGCACTGCACAGTGATGAGATGACAACAGACCTGAAACAGGGTGAGTGAATATCAGAGTGGACTCGAATTCCGGTTCGCCCCGATTAGAGTTCTACGTTTTTTAACGCCTTACACGTTTTCTTGGGTTTCACCATAGTAATAGAGACCTTCAGCACTTCGGGCTTGGCTCCAACATTAAGCTGACACACACATGTGTGTGTGTGTGCGTGTGAGATCACGTCATTGTGAATGTAACCTTAATCCACTCCGTCAGATTTGTTTAATTTCAAGGGATTGAATATGTGAATTAAATTGGTATGTCCTTAGTTAACTTCAATAACCAGTAGTTTGAATCCAACGTTTACAGTGCAGCACTATGTAGACTGACTGACTGACTGACTGAGTTTAGTTTTACGCCGCTTTTAGCAATATTCCAGCAATATCACGGCGGGGGACACCAGAAATGGGCTTAACACATTGTGCCCATGTGGGGAATCGAACCCGGGTCTTCGACGTGACGAGCCAACGTTTTAACCACTAGGCTACCCCACCGCCCGCACTATGTAGAACCGTGTAGACAGTGAAGCGCTGCACATTCAGGTAATACCGTTATAAATAACGTACAGTGCCGTTGCTACATAGACGATACAGAGTAATCAATTTGGTAGTTCCACGCAATAGCCCTGTGAAGTTTTACACCAACAGGACTCGGACTAAGAAGGTTCTCTGTGCGGCGACTATACAGTGTTTATACTGTTCGATGTTTCAGAGGCACACGCAGTCTGGAGTGTTGAGTCATTATAAAAATGTATGTTTTTCTTTTACAACGATGAAGGTACTGATGCTGATGATGTAGATGTGCCAGCGATATATACAGTGATCGCCATCACCAGTGGTTCCTGCCTTGCTTTCCTTGCGGTAGTATCTTCTGTAGCAGCTTGCGTCAATCGTTGCTGTCTCCAAAATGGTAAATATGTTGAAGAATATTTAGCCCATCCTACAATGCGGATAAACGGCAACATATCATTGTACGTTATCATTTTTTAATACGGTTGATTCTTAATTATACAGGCCCACTGACTACATGATGCGAAAAAGATAGAGCAAAGGTGACAAGCTTTGCCTGAAAGGTTTAAAAGAATTCTTCACGACACAGTAACTGACAGTGTTCTTTCTGGCGATTTTCAGGATATTACGAGTTAAAGACAATTTAAGTGTGTGTTGGGTGGTGTAATTACATTGTCATATATAACATATATTAAATATAAGTTACCTAAGTATAAGATAACTTTACTAACATAAGTACCCTTCTTGTCAAGGGGCTATCATCCAAGCAATACAGCCTATTTATGACACACTTATCACTTTAGTAAAAGATGGTAAAATATTACAATTCAATTATAAAACAGCCCACCTGGCAAGAAATAAGACAAATGAAAGTTGTCTCCCCTCCTTGACGTATGTCTACATTTAGGCAAATTTCAAAGTGTGCTACTTGTACTTTCAGGAAAAGGAGAAGATGGGTGAGTTATGTTTTGTTGAAGATAGCAAAAATATTTTTAGACGGCAAGTGAGATTTTGACCCACATGGAACTGTATCCGATCGTGAACAGTACAAATGTGTAAACATTGGATGGACGCTATTGCTTCAACACACTTAACGCATCCAAAAACCTCCATCCAGTCTGCTCAAGATTTATGTAGACAAATTAGTTCGTTTTGTTTCTTTGTTAATTGTTAAACGCCACACTCAGCAATATTCCAGCTATAAGACGGTGGTCTGTAAATAATCCAGTCTGGACCAGACAATCCAGTAATTGACATCATGAGCATCGTTCTACACAAGTGGGATACGATGACATGTGTCAACCAAGTCAGAGAACCTGACCACCCGATCCCGTTAGTCGGGTTACTGAAGATCATTTGTAATCCGGATCTTTACGGGTTCTAGACAAATTGGTTATGGCCTTGAATCTCGAACCAGTGCATGCATATGTACGGTTGGGAAACTTGCCTAATTGCAAATCGCTTGTTTCAGTTTCAGAGGTGAGGTGACAGAATGTGATGACCAAGCTTCAGATTATTCAACGATCAACGAGGACGAAATTACTAATGCATATGAGCGACCACTCAGAAAGCATACACCAATGTACCTGCAACCAGTACTAACAGAGGATGATCAGATGACTGAGTGAACAGCGTTTTATGCCGCCTTTCACGATTGTTGGGGGAAGAATCGAGTATGCACTTCCCGTGAAGGTTTCAAAGAATGACATACGACTCTTAGCTCAAAAGCTGTTCCATTCTGTTGACAACATTCAAGGCGATTTCAAATGTTGTGTAGTGGACATGTTGTGGACATTTCCACATTTGAAGGGTCAGTGACAAAAATTACGTCCGGTGCAATTCCCCATTTAGACTTGGGTAACTTGTGTCCCTTCGGGTGAGTGTGGGTAGCCTAGTGGTTAGAGCCTTCGCTCGTAACGCCGAAGAC